CCACGGACACAGCACTGCACGGAAGGAGTCAGACTGACCGGTCTTCATAGCCTCGTCCTCAGCCCGGCCAGGAGCCTTCTCTGGGTGCCTGCCAAGGGCACTGGGCTCTCGGGGCCTCTTGGGGCAGACCTGCTCCAGGGAGGGCTGACAGGGCCCAGGATACCCACCACCACAGCAGGCCCGGTGCTGGTGCCGGGCAGAGACACTGCCTCCCCTCCCCCCTGGACACAGCCCAGCTGTGAGGGCTCACCTCTGATTCCTGCCCTCAGCTGGGTGTGCAGCCCCCTGAGCAGCAGGAGGCAGTTGATTCTCAAGATGGACCCTGTGGGCCTTCAGAAAGAGTGACAGGCAATTCTGGTCACCCTCAAGCCCAGGCTGGCGCCAGCAGCCACCACCAGGCCCGCCTCCGGTCTGACACTGTCCCTCAGCCTCCTCTCTGACAGGTGCTTCTCACACTCAGATCCCATCCAATGGCTGGGCCCACCTCAGGCTGACTCCAGAGGCCTGAGTCGGGCCAGAGAACTCGTGGTAGTAAATTACAGGTGCCGCCGCTGCCGCCGCCGCTGCTGCAGATCCGCTGCCCCGGGCCTCCTCCCAGGCCCACGGCCACTGCTCAAGGCGGAGGGCTCAGTGATGGGACCAGGGAGCCGGCAGGGAAGGCCGCGTCCGCCTCCCGAGTCCCCACAGTCCTGCCTCCGCACTGGGCAGCGTGTCAGTGGGCGGGTGCATGTGGTGACAGGGCTGCCACACCAGGAAGACGCCGGGAAAAACGACATCTGTCTGTGGCTTCCTACACGCTCAGTAATTCAACTCAACAAGAAGTATCGAGTTAGCCTAGGATGCCCGAGCCATGCCGGCTCCGGGGCAGAGCCTTGGAGGGTCCCGTCCGCAGGGTGAGACACTGCGCTTGCTGCGGGAGGGTTTGGAAAGGAGGGCTGGGTTCTGCTCTGGAAGCAAAATAATCCAAATTCCTGCGGGGTTTTCCCTCCGGCCCCTGCACACCTGCTTGTGCCAGATGGTGAATCTTGGGAAGGTGGGAGGAGCCCCGTGTGCTGCCAGCTGTGGTCGCCCGAGGCGACCCTTGGGGCCGGTGGAGGCCGGATGTCCAGCTTTCCGCCTCCTTCCTGCTCACGCTGCGGGAGAATTCGCGGCCCTGCGGAGCACAGCGTGAAAACAGCAGCAGGAGGGCCTGGGACGAGGCTCCCTCAAGGCTGCCTGTGGCCGAGGGCAGTGTGTTGTCTGATGGGAACAGTAGAGCAGGAGAGAATTCCAGCGTCGCTGGGAAACCAGAGATGAGGGGATGAAATTCACCATCTGTGTCCTGGAACCAGCAGCCAGCGTGTGGGCGAGCTCCATGGCCACCCAGAGCTCCCGAGAGCAGCTGCATGGGGCAGCACCCGTCTCTCGGGCTGGGAGCCCACCCTGGAGTTGACCTTCACTGTCCTGTGGGAACATGGGCCCACGGAAGAGACATCATTCACGTGTCTTTGAGGACAAGGCTGTGGTCCGGTCCACCGGCCCAGCTTCCCTCAGGTCCACAGTAGACGTGCAAGGCTAGTGCACACGTAGCATCGGTGGCAAAGGTTCCAGCTCCGGGGCCACGGCCTGAACCCCGTCTGCGCAGCCAGCCTGCTGCTATGGGTTAATCCCAAGTCCCCCGCAGGCCTCGGACGCCAAGCAAGGCAGCTAAGAAATGAGAATCAGGGTGGCGTGGAGGCCCTCGGTCTCCCTGTGGGGCCAGCTGACGTTTGCAGGGACAGGCTGGGCCTGTGGACAACCGGAGTCGTCAGCCTCGGGTCCCTGCACAGGCCCCACCTGCGTAGTCTTGCAAGACGATCCATGTCTCAATGCGGGTGAGGCATCTACTTTAAAGTCCTTTACTTCTGGGCCAAAGCGTTTCAGTGCTGGGTCTTGGAGATGAGTGATCTCAACACCAGCCTCTCTCACCATCTCCTAGTCCAGCGTCCACGCCTG